CACAACTCAACATAACACAACACAACACACAACACACACAATATCACAACAACACCTCATTGTATGTCACCACTGTGACAAATGAACTCCTGCGACCCACTGTCAGAAACAATATTCGACTTAACATTAACCTACTAACTTTTACTAACACTAACTTTTTCTCACAGACGGTTGCCAGAAATATCGTAAAGTTAAGGGTTTCTTATACGCAGTGTATAGACGTCCTGTCCACGAGAAGAACTAAACTCCAATACCACTGTCAAGACTAGCATTAGGACTAATTTCGTTTCTGACGACGCCCCCTTCACCCGAGCTTCGTTAGTGGCCGCTGGCGCCCCCTACCCCGACGACGCCCCCTCCACCCGAGCTACGTTGGTGGCCGCTGGCGCCCCCTACCTCTCGTGCACGTTAGTGTCGGTGATGGCCTGCGCGGGAATCCTCCACGGACACCGCACCTTGGACAGCGGCAGACGCTTGAAGTCAAACTGGCAGCAGATCTTTGGGTCGGGTCCGCAGGTGTGCGGGACGTCGTACGAGTAGAAAGGCATCATGTGCGTGAACATGTCAGTCGATGAGTTGTGGTCTGTAACCATGGCGATACGTTAAGGTTACAATAAAGTGCATTATATAAATACGTTATATTACATTAAGTTACATTATATTACATGAACATGTCAGTCAAAGAGTTGTGGTCTGTAACCATGGCGATACGTTAAGGTTACAATACAGTGCATTATATAAATACGTTATATTACATTACGTCATGTTATATTACATGAAAATTTCAGTCGATGAGTTGTGGTTTCTAACAGGGGCGACGAAGATTCGACATGTTAGAATACAGTGCATTACATCATTACAATATATTACATTACAGGACACTAACATGTCCCTAGACGCGTTGTGGTCTGTAAACGGGGCGATACGTTAAGATCCGGCACGTTACAATACAGTACATTACATCATTATATTACATTATATTACATTACATTACATTATATTACATTATATTACATTATATTACATTACATGACATTATATAACATTAAATAACATTACATCACACACCACCACAGCCCCCTCCCCCACACAACCCCCCACTCCACCCCACAGCACGTGCGTACCACCCCCGCGCTCACCGCTCCCCCCACCTCCCCCAAAGTGCTCTCACCCCAGTTCTGTCTCCACATGAACTCTAGCTGCTTCTCGCGTGCGAAGTGTTTCTTGACGCTGTAGTGCACTCGCTGCAGCAACATGTTGGTGAGACCGACTCTCTTCAGGATGTACGCCATCGTCGACGAGTGTCCGAACGGATCGATCGACCATCCCGAGGTCGGCTTCACACCTGTAGCAGGAAGACATGAATGAGAGGATGAGATAAGATGAGATAGGAGAGACGGATGAGATAGGTGGTTAGCAGGTGAATGAAGGAGCGTGGCTTCACACCTATAGAAGGAAGACATGGATGAGAGGATGAGATCAGATGAGATAAGATAAGAGATAGGTGAGACGGATGTAAAGGCAGGAACATGATAGACAAACACACAGACAGACAGATGGACCCACAGACAGATGGACAGACAGATAGAAGGACAGACCGACAGATGAAAAAACCATATGAGAACGAACTGATGAACGGACAAACAAGATGACAAACGTTTAAAAACTAAAATTCCTTTTTACATAAAGGGAGAAATAATTCTTCGCGGACAGAAAGTAAACTGGTGGCCCCGAAAAAATCACACAAAGAAATCTCTACATTCTGGCCTCGTACCTTCTAGCATGAAAACGTCTATTTCATCCTAAATAAACTGCCATTATAATATCATCTCAATGAATACAATGTTGGGGTGGTGTCACAGCCAGAGATGGTTGGTAACCTTACGAGCAGACGCCACAAACAACGCAATGATTCCTCACTAAACATCGCCCACTAAACTTTTATATTGCAATACCACGTACATATAGTATACATCAAGTACGCGATAACTTAATCTAAACCCATAAATAATAATAGAAGTAATAAATAATATAAAAATGCTTTTATTGAAAATTCCTTAATATATAAAGAATAATAAGAAATAATAGCATCGTATCTACAAGGCATCGATGCACCCGCAGCTCAGTAGCTTTGTGGTTTAATGCAAGTAGTTGTCTTACTGCAGTGGAGTAAATGCACAATCAATAATTATCCCACAAGCCACGTATTGTCGTCGTTATACACTATCGACCTTTATGTCTACATTTATCTATATCTGTCTGCATGCCTCAAGACCCAAACGTCAATGAAAAACTCCCCGGTGACTATTCCGCTATCGTAGACTAATCACAGAATCATCGTGAAGGCAGCGCAAGCGACAGAACGCTATGCACACCGCTAAACACCACGGAGAGATCGACTCCACCCTTCCCATTGGAATCCATGTGTGCTGCAGTTGCTAGGTCGAGTGTAGTGTAGTGATGTAACATGTGTTTTGCACGTGTTACATGAATTAGTCAGTGGAGCTAGACTAGTAGTTGTTTTAGTCATAGTCTGGCTAGACAGAGTGTCGCGCATCTTGTGCGGCTAGATTGATGTTATAGGGAGAATAGTAAACGTGTTTTAGGTCAGCCGTTTCTAGGGTCATTGTGAAATGGGGGGTAGGACGCGGTCTGGGAGAACGGATGCGTGGTGGTTGTGTGGTGGTGTGCCAAACTTGTGTTGTAACCGAAATAATCTTTAATAACTCATACAGTGTAAACACACATCGCACAAAGAGACACAAAACCACGCACACGCACATACGCGCGTGCGCTTTCCCTCGCGACCAGAACCAGCATTCTCTACTCTTACATCTCTGTTCTATATATTCCCCCCCAAAACTCCTACAAACATCTTGCACGCACATGTACCCGTTCTCCCAGACCGCGTCCTACCCCCCATTTCACAATGACCCTAGAAACGGCCGACCTAAAACACGTTTACTATTCTCCCTATAACATCAATCTAGCCGCACAAGATGCGCGACGCTCTGTCTAGCTAGACTATGACTAAAACAACTACTAGTCTAGCTCCACTGACTAATTCATGTAACACGTGCAAAACACATGTTACAGTGAGTGACCCGAGAAGAAGAAGAAGTAGTAGAAGAAGAAGATTGGAATCCCGGGGTTTAGAACCCACGAATTCATCAGAAGACCGCAGCAAGTGACTTTCAACACACTCAGCTTCCCACGTACTGTCTAACACAGACGCCGCGATCGCCGCCAACACCAGCCATCCACGATTATTCCGCCGCCGAATGCATGCATCCTTTATTTCCATCATCATTCACTCCGACGTGAAAATCTTCTTCCGTCCGTCGCTTTAAGAAAACGGATTCGCTTCGACTCGGTAACGGATGCGGTCTTCTGGCGGGAGTCAGTGAACAAGAGAGCGTGCACGCGCGTAGAGATGAGTTGCTATTAACAACGCAGACGCCGCGGGCGTCGACGATCAATCTACCGATACACGCTTAACGAGCCGCGACTTCCACGAGCTTCAATTACTAGCGATCGATTAGTTTTGCGCCGAAGACGGGAGAGTAACGAGAACGAACATTAAATACAGCGTGTATGTGTGGCACGATGCATGCAGCCTCTTATGATATAATCTTATGATATGGCTCGAAGTAGTCGCTCGTTATAGTCGAAATAGTTGCTCGGTATTGAGCAGTCGCTGAGATCTTCCTATTCGTCTAGGTAAATGAAATTATGATGGTATCGATCTCTGCCTGGGTCTGTCACTCTACATTGTGCACCTACCTGTGTATCAGAATACATGTATACCCGCTTGTCACTACATTTACCTCTGTTACATTACCATTTGCAATTGTATTCACATCTGTGTGTGACTGTCAGTATATGCTTCTGTTTGCCATTACCTTCACAGCTGTGGGCCACAGTACATACTCGTGTGTTTATATTACACCATACATGCTTGTTACACTACCCTGTGTATCAGCCACCATACACGCTTGTAAGACTAAACTGAGTGTTACAATACATTGTTGTTACAGTAACTTTAAGGCGCGCTTATGTCGGGCTTGTGAGCCGACTCGACTGGAAGCAACTAGATTTCGAGCAACTGGAAGCGATCAGCAGCGACTAGTTGCGTCCAGTTGCCCACTGTTCTATTTCGAGCAACTAGTGGCGGCCAGTCGCAGGCAGTCGTGTCGCAGTCGACCGACCTAAGCACTGCAGTCGCAGTGAATTGCAGCCAGTTGCTTCCAGTCGAGTCGGCTCGCAAGCCCGACATAAGACCGCCTTTAGTGTCACACAGTGTTCGTGTCTGTTACTTTACTCGTGTGTTTACACACCAGGTGACCGAAGCACAGCGCCACACGGCCGGGTCAAGGTAGATCCAGGAAATGCTAAATCCCTAATTTCCTGTCGGCCGGACAACGGTTCCGGCAGTGAGCCGACTTATTTTGACTTTGTTTTTCACCTGATTTACGCCAATGTTGTTGTTCTCGTTATTAGCAGTAACAAACGATGATTCGCCTCTCAGAGTTTTTTTACCTCTGTGGGAAAATATGTTGGACAATGCGCCCTGCACGCGAGTAAAATCACCCACCGGACTTATCGGAAAAACACACCGCCCGTACAACAGGTCTGCCGAATTTCTCATTCTCTGCATGTGACCCTAACTGCTGTTGATAAACACATCGATACAGTTACAGGGATCTCCCCAGAAATATGAGAAGGCATATATATATATATATATATATGAGAAAAAATATGAGAATTCATGGATGGCTGGATGGAGGGAGGGGGGGGGGGAAAGAGAGAGAGAATAAAGGAAGTGGGAAGGGTGTGGGTTGTACCAACTGGAGTCATATATACGCGTGTCACAAACGATACACAGGTAAACTTGATCAGCTCGGTAGCGTATACAACAAGCTGAGAAAACACAGCATGACTGTGTTGGGATCGTCAAAAGTAAACACGGCTAGAAATTAAAGCGTGTCGACGAGGCAGTAAAGGAACCTAATTCCTGTAATTAAATTCCTTGAATCCTCCAATTAGGGAGGATTTACGGAATGTCGCAAATTAGCTTCAGCTTTGACCGACGCGACGCGCGTTAGAGTGCCCCCTAGGGAGACACGTGAATGACGTAAATATAATAGTCCGTGGCTACTCGTCCGGTTACCGGACGCCCAGCTCCCAAGCTACGCGTCTGGTCATACATTTCTTATGTGAACCCAACTATATTTTTTCAGTAAAAAACAATCAACAATACGTTTTTACCATAATATTACTTACGTTTAGGTATTTTATCAAAAACATGTGTTTTTGTAACTTTTGAAGCAATAGTAAATCCAGTAAAATCAACGATTTGAAAGATGGATGAATCATGGATTTGGGAATCTGTGCTGAGCTTTGTAATGGACGCGTAGCCACTGCGTATAATAATATATAGTAAGGCATAGCCTTTGAGCGACCACCCCGGTTGAATTCCTGGACTATTTTTTTATAGCGAGCAAATATGAGAATTGATAGGTCAGAATTCAAAGAAGTGAGCCGGAAACGGAAATGTTGTTCACGAAAGTGAGGCTCCCAGTATGCATCTTAATTGGCAAAATTTCTGGTAGGTTACCGGTTGCTTCCATCTATTTCGCACCCCTCATAACATGTTTTGCCCACCGGCGGTGGTCGCATCATATAATACCTAGTTGCAGCTCGAGCCACTGGTGTCCCTCGATGAGCTGATCAATGATGGCGTAGTAGTGAGAGTTGGCTTCGTCTGTCATCACCCAGCCTCCCGTAACTATCTCCAGCTGCCCATCCTCTATCAACCTGCCACGAGAAACGAGAGGGGTGTCAAGCACGGGGTGTCTCTCTCTCTCTCTCTCTCTTAGTCTATCACGCTCTTTCTCTCTCTCTCTCTCAAATGCAGGGTCTCTCCCTATCTCCTTCCCTCTCTCCCTCTCTCCTTATCTCTCTCTTTCTCTCTCTCTCTCTCTCTCTTAGTCTATCACGCTCTTTCTCTCTCTCTCTCTCACAAATGCAGGGTCTCTCC